CCCCACCCCAATCTACGCAGGTAAGCATAACGAATGTCAAAATTTAGGTGTCATCAGTTTTTAGAAAATAGAGTACAGTCTGACAACTGCAATATCAAAATATTTATACAGTTATTTTAACTGTTTAGGTCTGACAGTAACATACTGACTTGCTGCAGTCACATAGCAGTGACTTCAGTACTAAAGAATCATACAGTTGTTTTATAAATATTTATCATGCCAGAAGGAGTAATAAAGTGTAGCAAACCTCTATATCTAGCATTGGTTGTCTCCTTGTTGTTAAGAGTTTTGCTCTGTTATTTCCATTAGCCTCCAGTAAAAATATTTTCAGGATTATCTCTGTGGATGCAGAAAGAAGCTTTTATAGTGTCATATATTGGTGGTGAATTATCACTGATGATAATTTTCTGCTCATAGTCTGTAATACAGTGAATGTTACTATGAAATCTGTTGCTATGCATCACAATTCAGTGCAAAATAATAGAAAACAAAACGTTCAGGTTTAATTCTCCGTCCTGTCATGAAGGGTTTGTTTATGTTAACTCTTGAAGTGTCTCATTCTGCTGTTGTGTTCTCTGAAGTTCAACAAAGAAAGCAGAATTTTGCACAAGAGAAGTAGATGAACACTTGAGGTGTAAAAGCCACCTGTGTTGCCAGATTATGCTGAAGGCTTAACTTCATCTGCACGCAGAGATTGGCAGCCTGGGGCTGCTGCTCTCTGCAGCAGAACTTGGCATTTTTCCCATCTTGGGCTGTTGAGAAGTCCTCCGGTGTTCACAATGCCAGCAATGTCTGAAAGGGGAAAAACGTAGGTTCTGCAAGCTGTTGCTCCCTGCCTGCTCCTGTGAGGTCTTCTCAGGGGTACCTGCGTTACTCAACCTTGTGCTGCTGATCTGCGCTGCCCAGAGCCTCTGCTCTGGACTACCTGGGCAACCTGGTGTTACCGGCGAGACCCTCCAAGCTCTGCGTGTGCAACTGAGCTGTTAATGGGATAATATCTGATGGTATTAGTGAGGGGTCATTAATTTGCTCCTGATCAGCCATTCCTTATTTACAAAATGCTACTGCAGGCCAGTGTCTGCATTGTATGCAGGGCCATGATGAACTAGGCAGTATAGCTATTTCCTCCACTCCGTGCCGAGTGCAGTTTTACCACTAAAAAGCTAACATAAGGGCCCATCAACACCCTCCAAAGCCAAGCTGAAGACCAGCTTGCTGCATCGTAGACTTTAAGAGAGTAAGGGGATGAAAGTGCATTACGGGTAATGTGAAGCCAGGACCTTGGAAACAGAAAGAGTAGGCAGATCATTTTCCCTTGGAAAATGAGGAATAATTCATAGGAATGCTGGAAGACCACAAGTGTGGCCAGAAATTGTCAGTGAAGCCTGAGTTTGGAAGGTTTATGTCACAAAATCCATTCCAGCAAGGTTGCATGGACCAGTAAAAGTAAGTGTATTCATGATTTTTCATTTTTCTGTTTTCTCCTCTCCAGTTACATGAAAACTGGAATTTTATAAGGTTCCTAAGAGAGCGGGGCATCTCTCTCTCTTTTTTTTTTCCTTTCTCTCTCTCTTTTTTTTTTTTTAAATTTCTACCCTGTTGTTCTTATTTCTAGTATTTTAACTGGCAGGGATAATCTGCTTTACTGTCTATAAGGACTCCGTCTGGGTCCAAACCCAAAATTTCTCCAAGGCAAAAATGAATCTTTTAGGACTTCTCTTGATTTATGATGTCACAGAAGGATTTGTAATCTGAGTGAGAAACTGACTTGTCCAGAAGATGCTGAATTTTATCTGAGCACTCTGGGCCCTTCTCTTTTTGTGCTAGTTTGGAAATGATTCAGTATGTGAAAGTGTATTCTTGAATGTAGGTGAAAAGTTATCTGTATAAATTTAGGTAATCAACATCTACTGATTGCTCAACATTTAGTTTAATGGAGACTTTTTTGTGTATAGAAACCCTTTCAAATGAGTAATTCATATCTAGACTACATGTAGAACTGGAAAACATACATCCAGTAGGGAGCATTTTGACTTTGGCAGGAATGATGTACGAGTCATAAAATCAGAGGCCCTCTCGTGTCACTGTTATTCCTGTGGACTGAAGTCCTTAACCAGGAATCTTTGCACTGACTCTAATGGGTTTGACTCGAATTAGAAAGGGGCATTGATTGTTATGTCTCTGGAAAGAAATCTGAGGGTGGGATCCCAAACCTCTTTTTGACAGGATGAGATTTGTTCAACCTGCTCTGGCCTGGTCCCAATGTGGAAAGAAGGATGTCACCAATGATAGATGACCCATAGTGGTGTTTTAATTTCAGTCAGAGAAAGCTTCCTCAATCAGTTTGGTCTCACTGTCCTTGTTTTGGTGCACATTATGGAGAGGTCTTTGCAGTACCCAGACTGGACTGCTTTTAGAAAGGGAGATGGCAGAACAGTGCTGCGCAGCTGTGAATGAAAAAAGAGTCCTAAACTTTTACTCTTTGGCTCACTTTTCTACACAAGTGACCTCAGTATGTGGGCAAAGTAGGGTAATAAATTTGTGACAAATGGAACAAAAGGGACTTTAAATATAGAGTTTCTATCCCAGCATGATATGGTGCACTTGCCTGTATCTTAGATTAACTCGCTTTTTTTTCATCTGGGTGAACTTGCTTGTTTTTGTTGCCGCCACAGACTTTTTTGACTGCAGTCTATAGTAGCAGGCAGAAACAACGCTTTCTTTGTGCAAGTTTAGTTTTTGCACTTCTAATAATCAAGGCTGTAGCAGTCATTGCAATGCTCACTTATCCACTACTTTGTAGTTACAATCTGCAGGCAACTTATACAATGAGGTATTATTAATCAGTTACTTGTGAATCACTAACTCCTGTGCTGTTTTTTCTCCCTTGCAGATCTCATTGTTGTCCAAACCTACCCAGAAATCCCTATGATAAGAGTGAGAAGACATGCATGCTTTCAGAGTACATGGAGAAATACCCTCGTAATCCCATCACTGTTCCCAGGGAACCATTTCACCCAAGGAATGTGTATGAGGTGGTACAGATACCCATGGAAGGCATCTCAACCACAAAGTATGACAAATAATGTTAAGAGAGTAAGGACTGTGACTTAGTGCGTGTGTGAGAGATGGGTAATGTAAAAAAGAAAAATGACTGGTTTTCACAAGGGTTGATTGGTTTTCACGAGGGTAGCCTGAAGAAAAACCACTGCAGTTGTGTGAACATTCATGAGGGGTCTTGGAAGTAGGGAATGACCATTATGTCTGAGGCCAGTTGCTATAGTGGGGTTAAGCAGGTATTTTTCTTGCACTTCTCGTAAGATGAAATGTAATATCATCGGAGAATACATGGGCCATAGAATCACAATTGTGGTCTTAGCTTTTGCTCATTTTCTGTTTTAGTAAGTTTTCTGTGAAAACAGCAGAAATGTTGTCTGGGAAAGTATGGATGATATTGGAGGATTTTTTTTTCTTTTGTTCAGTGTTTTTTGTGGCACTTTGTAGACTGTATCATGAGTGACTGGTTTCCAAGGTGTGAATATGGTAGAGCTTTATCACAGAATCACGGAATTATTGCGGCTGGAAAAAACCTCTGAGATCATCAAGTCCAGCCCATGTCCCAGCACCACCACATCAGCTAGACTGACTCCACCACTTCCCTGGGCAGTGCATCCCAATGCCTGATCACCCTCTCTGCGAGGAAATGCTTCCTGAGATCCAACTTAAACTTCCCCTGACGCAGTTTCAGGCCGTGACCCCTTGTCTTGTCACTTGTTGCCCGGGAGAAGAGCCCGAGCCCCACCT